TATTCTCTCCTCCTCTCTCTCTCTCTCTCTCTCTCTCTCTGTATATTATTTTGGAAATTATCCGCGCTCGTGAAGCGTACAGCGACCAACCAATTTTCCATGCTTCGACTACTCCATCTGTATCGAACTCCGTTAACACAATTATCAATAAGGTTTTCCGAGGTTACAACTTTAAAATAAGTTAGTAACAAACAAATGAGAATAACTAACGCGCTTCGTTCACTTCGTTTTATTAAAATTGCTTACTCGTTCCTTCTTACTTTATTTACAGTAATTGAATTTTAAGCATCGCAAGCCCAAACAACTCACCTAATATTCTCTAATGTAACCTCCGCTGTTCCAGCTTCCGAGACATCCCTAGGCCTTGCTTGTTAACGATGAGTCCATTAGCAGCGGGTCCGGCACGAAAAATGTTTTCCTCGCTTCCTCCTTCCTTTCTTCCTCGTCTTTATTTTAACATATTTCCACACACTTCTGCTACAGTATATAAAAACTGTAACGCAACGCGTATATAAAAAAAAAATATATATATATATATATATATATACACATTCTTCTCGCAAAACATTTTTCCCGCAAACTCGAAACATATTTTACAAACTCTCTTTCTACGAAAATAGATTCTAAAAGGTTAACGTTAATCGAGAAGTAGTTGGCAGTTCGAATTCGGCCCGCATCGGGATCCGTTTGCCGAATTGTGAAGGAAACATCGCAAACGAATCCCTTTCGAAATCGTAAACTCGTTGATGCGATACTCGTTACGAGTTCAAAGCGTTATTTCGAAATCGTGGTTAACTTAAGCCAACGTTGCCAACGTTTTGTCCGCGAGCATTAATTTAAAAGTTGGGAAGGAAAGCTTCCGTATTGAAAAATATGAAATCGGGGGAGCGGTTTCGCGCTTCGTGATTCTTCCTCCCCCCCTCCTTCCTTGAAAACTTCTCATAATTGTTGGTACGAAGCGGGGGGGGGGGAAAAAAGGAAGAAAGTAGAAATAATACGCGCAGCAACATCGCCGGTTGAAATTATCGAGATTAAAGAGGGAGAGAATTGGAGGAAACGTTACGCGGCATAGCAGTGGTTCTCAACCGCGCTTATTAATCTTTTGCATACCGCTTATTATTTCAATAATTGCAATTACATTGCCGTTCGTAATTCTTCGCCAATATCACAATACAATAAAAAAAGAAAAAAGTTAGCAAGATATTATTGAAAGAAAAAAGATTGGAAAACCAAGATAATGGTGTAATAACGTAATGTATTGTATAACGAAGAGAGCGTTTTTTCTTTTTCTCTTTTCTTCCACGTGACTAGAATCGTGGAAGAAGAAGAAGAAGAAGGATGGATGGATTTGGTCGAAACTCGTCATGTCACGTCGAGTTAAACGGAATTCTCCTGCGACTCGTTCCCACGCGGTTCGGATACCTTGACGGACACCGTGGACACGGCGTCCTTACTTTTTTCCACGGCCGGCCCCCACGTCTTCTTTGGTCGAAACATGCTGCGGTCCCTCTGCGGACAATTAAAACGGGAAGTCAAATTCTTTGAACAATTTGCGCCCGCGGCTCGTGCAAACAATTCGTGTCGGCCGAGCCCCGCTCAATGCTGTTTCGACCGCACTCGCTTCCACAGGGTCGCGACTCGAACGAAAGATTTTCCACAGTTTTCCCCACCCGATGTATACGTATATATCGTCTCTTCGAAACGATTTCTTGGAGACGCTTAAGTTGTTTAAAAATGTGAAACTTGAAAGAAGAAATTAATAGAGAGAGAGAGAGAGAGAAGGAGAAAGGCGATCTCCACATTTCTTTTTTTCCCTTCTGAGAGAGATATAATTTAGAATAATAATAGTAATAATGATAACAATAATAATAATAATATTGGTCGGAGAGATTGGAAAAAGGGAAAGATTTTTCTCTCTCGTAGCTCACGAGTAGTAGTTTCTTCGACTGTACAGAGAGAGAATCGAAAACAGAAAGGAAAGGAAAGAAGATAAGAGTAATAGTAAATTTATCGAGTAAAACAAAGCGGAAGCGGTCAAGGAGAGAGGTAAGAGAGGGAAGAGAGAGAGAGAGAGAGAGAGAGATGAAACGGGTGAAATAGGTTCGATACGTACGATGGAGCACGGAACGAAACTTTTCGTTTCAAAGTACGATTACCGAGGTATATATATATATATATATATACCATAGAAAAACTTGTATTAAGACATTTCCAAGTTACGGTGAAGATTTTTATTACGGTAAAGAAAGGCGAGTTTCAGATCGAATGCATGAACCGAGGCTTAAACAAGGCTGAACTGGGCGCACGTGATCGTTTTTGCAAGAAAATTTGCAATTCGTACGAAAAGAGAGTGGTTCGTTCGCGACGATATCGCAACGAATAACACACTATATAATTATCGTGTGAACCGCTACATTTTATCGTGGAAATTTACAATGTCTCGTTGCACGAATCTTGAATTACGAGAATGATTTTGCTTGTTCGTTGAGGGTAATAAATTTTAATCGATCATTTTTCTCGATCGAAGATCTTTTCCTTTCTCTTGCGATATACATCGAGTCGATTATCCTTAAACAAACTATATATATGTACATCGTCATAAATCGGTAGAAAAAAAATAATAGAAACCGATAAACCCCGCACTGCTTTAAGCCTCGAACAAATTTACGTAGCAACTTTATACAACTTTATACTACCATCATTCTCGCATAAGCTTCATCGTAAAAACTTATAAAAGGAGATATAAGGAAGAATTAATAATAACGAAGAGAAGGAGGGTTAAATATTTTACTCGACCAAACTTCCTATCCTATCGTGCCCTATAATTATCTTTATCGAATTATTTATTTTCTTTCGTTCGTATTTTTATACGACGCCAGCAAGATTTTTTTTATGCCGCGGATAAAGAATGCATAAATTAAATTGAATTGAATTACGAATACACGTGTTAAAATAAAATGTTCTTAGAGACTCTTCGAACATTTCGAAACGACGATTTCGAACCTCGATTCGTTTTGCTTCGAACGAATTCTCAACAAATCTGCACGGGGCAAAAAGTTTGATATAGCTTGATATAGCCGGAAACTCTCTCTAATACAAACTCTAGAGCGGCGGCTTGTACGTAAAAACAACGAGCGGTTTGCATAATTTCATACAGTTTGTTGAGCATTATGCCGACTGATAAGCCCGCTTCCGGGCGCAAACTCGATCCTCGAGGAGGAGGCGGCGCCGATTGCTTGCCAATTTCGTTCGATTAAAATTAATCCAGAGATTTATTATTATAATCTTAAGTCTCGTTGGTTAAAACTTACCGGCCCTTTCCAAACGCGGCGGATGAAGAACAACGGCATCGGGGCGAGGGTCGACAGGCCGATCAGTATTCCGATCGCATTCGCCCAGTTAGGGAATATGTACTTGCCATAACGAGGCATCTCGTACGTATATATTTGATACACGAACACCACCTGCGAACGGGAAATCAGACGGGGTAGAAGGTGGAGGAGGAGGGAGGTGGAGGGGAGGGTGGATAGAAAGAGCTGTTATTTCTTGTGTAAACTACTCGGGGGAGCAGTAAGCTCGATGGTACAACGGCCAATTAAGAATTTGATATTTTTAATCGGGGCCGACTTCGGCACGCCGTCCCCGGGGCGTCTTTACGAGGCAGGCGCATAGACATTGGGATTAAATGAAAATTCACCCCGGTATTGAAATCTGATTAAATAGATATTAGGTTAACCGATTAAAATGTCTCTGAAGCGGCGAAGGTACTTACAAATCATATCCCCGCTCGCTTCGTAAAAAAGGTATTTATCGTGAGTCGATATTGTGGAATTAGAAAAATTTTTCGCAAAGTTTTCGAGAGAAGGAAGGGGATAGTCAGCATCTTTTCGATTCGTCTCGATCTTTCGGGATCGGTTGTCGAGATACGATATACAATATTCGTAACACTTTAAGACGCTACGCGATCTATATTTTTTTTCTGGAAGCTCGTACGTATTCTAGAAATAGCGTATATTTTTCTACGAGTCTTGTTTGCAGTTTGGAATAGCTCGGCGAGAGCGAGGAACGATCAAAAAATACTTTTTTCTTCACGTTACGATAACTCGAGAACCGGAAATCGTATTAGGATAAATCGAAAAGTCTTTTAAAGAGAAAGATTTCGCGCTTCTAACGATCTTTTATTTGTCAATTGTCGAATCATTATCTTCGGAGTTACGGCGATTTAAAGTTTTCCTAATTTTAATAGGAAGTTTGATCGGATTAGAGGCGAACGATTAAAAATTATCTTTTCTTTGAACGATCGTATCTCGGGAACCGGAAGTCGTATTAGGATAAATCAAGAAGCCTTTTAAAGAGAAAGATTCCGTGTTTCTAACCGTCTTTCATTCGTCGACCGTGGATCGTTATCTTCGGAGTTACGGCGATTTAAAGTTTTTCTAATTTTAATAAGAAATTTGATCGGCTCGAAGGCGAACGATCAAAAATTATCTTTTCTTTGAACGATCGTATCTCGGGAACCGGAAGTCGTATTAGGATAAATCGAAAAGCCTTTTGAAGAGGAGGATTCCACGCTTTCGACGATCCTTCGTTCGTTCGCCGATCATAATTATCTTCGAAATTACGAGGGTTTAAATTTCGCCTAATTTCAATACGCGCATCCTTAAATTTTCGGACACGCGCGTATCGTGTCTAATCTGTAGGGGAAAAAATCAATACGTTCTATTTTGCTGGTTAGCAAGGGCAGACCAAGTTCATAAATACTAATATACTCGATCGATAAGTTCGGGTTTACCGTGTAACCTTACATTAAGCATACGAGTTGGAACACGCGTTGGCCAAAGTTCTCGATAGGTATTAAAACCGGTTTCCGGGGTTGGTTGGGAAGTTTGAAAGCGAGCCGGTCTAATTCCTTGCGCCTGTTTATGAAAATCGAACGATCGATGACCGGAAGAGCGATTTATCGGCGATAACTCGGTGGAGATCGGACCCGATTGGCCAACGAAGCTCGGCCCCAACATTTCCCTTGTTTTTCCGGGTTGAGGAAGGATCGAGGCTCGGTGTTCACAAGTTAAGTTATCGATTTGATTGGCTGGCTCGGAACCGGGCCGGTAATCGATGAAAAGAGGAGGAAAAACCGTGGGCTGCGGCTGCTCGTGATCATTTATTTTGTTACGATTCACGATCGGTAAAATGGGACGTGACAGGAGTTCCAGGCCGGTAGGGCTTCCGTTTCAACGAAGGAGAGGTATAAAAGAGGACTCGTCTATATTCTCACGTGTGCACCGGCGAAATCGGTGAATATTAGATTGGCGCGTACACAAAATATCGCCTCACCTTTGAGCCCGTCGAGTTTCGATTCCATTAAATTCGTCGATTGTTCGTGCGGGAAAAAAGAAAAAGTTTCTTCTTTTTCCTCCGTACGTTTGTGTTTCATGCATGCATTTTAAATATTCTCTCTCTTCTCTCTCTCTCTCTCTCTCGGAAAAAAAAATCTAGACGCACCTTGAATACCTCCCCCCGTATCCGTTGAACCGTTCTTAAAAGCCATTGTTGTATGCTAATCAAAATCCTTGGGACACAATCCCTGTTTAATATGAAAACCTTTTTACACTCGCTGGCAAAGCCAGTATCTGTATCACGACATCGTTTCAAAATTCTAAAGAGGTAAGGGAAAAATATGTCGAGTGAGACGAGGCGTCTCGTGAAGAAAAAAAAAAAATAAAAAAAAGAGAGAAAAAGAGAGAAACGATAAAAGAATATAAATATATAGAAAAACATAAAGAGGGGGACCCCTCTTAAAACAGTTTTCCCTTCGAGCAGTGTCGTTTCATGTAAATGTAATATACATGCGGGGAAAAGTATGCGGCGCATAATTGCGCGTTTACTATCGCGGCAAAATAGAGGAGGACGGATACGCTCTCGAGACATTCACGTGCTAGACATGGAGTAATCTATAATTGCATTCTTTTCTCATTCTCATTATGATTATTCGAGAAAGAGTTTTAGAACGCTCTAGACGAGAGATAAAAGAGAGAGAGAGAGAGAGGAAGAAACTTTGGAAAGAAGATAGAGTAAGAGGAGGGGGGAGTCCAGCGTGTTTTGTCGGAATTTTGTCAATTAAACGTGTAGTCGCGTTAAAATATGGGGGAAACAAACGTTACGCTACGCGTTCCATCCAGAAATCTAAAAAATGCAATGCAAATGCTTGCAATAAGTTGAAAAAGGGCAAAAGTTATTACGGGACATTTATTACAAAGATAATTAAACCTGTGCTATTTCAAACGAAATTTTAACGAGATTTTGACGATTGCGAGAAACATATATGTTACAACAATATTTGTTGATAAAAAAAAAGAAATAAAATTTCTTTAAGGCATGCTTTTTTTTTCATTTTAAGCGAATAAAAGAAAGAAAAAGAAGGAGAAGAAGAAACGAGAGATTTTAAGATTCGAAGCGGTCGGGTCGCCGCGCGATTGTGACCGGAGAAATGAAAAGAGGATTGATCGAGCACTATTCTCAAAGGGAACTACCAAAGGTTTATCGAAAAGTATAGCGTACACACACACACACACACACACACACACACATATATACAGATCGTGGAGGTAACCGGTGACCAAAAATGTCGCACTTAATAAAATAGTCGATCGATCAAAGTGACCAAGGTTTGGATCTTGAAAATTCTGAACCAGGAAGAGAGAGAGAGAGAGAGAGAGAGGAGGGAGGGAGGAGGAAGGAGGGGATA